AAAAAACATCAGTGATTACCAAACGTACCTATTAAATTAAGTAACGTGCAAAATTAGTATGGTCAGTAGCCATTATAGCTAATCTTAGAATACAAAAGAACAACAGTAATTCTGAAAAGGTTTAACACTCGAGAAATATGTATATTTCAATACAACATATTTTCACCTTATGAGTATTAACCCTTCAAACCCATTCAGGTTGATGACCCGTTATACAGTAGTTGACTGTCACACTATTCAGCACATACCTGACATATACCTAATTTGTCAACATAAAATATAATGCATTTAGTATTCAAAGGAATAACGGGAGTATTAAAATATTTGTAGAAATTGCTAAGACTACATTTTACGTGTCTTTTTAATACCGTTACTCTTTTGACATGCGTTTTTCCAAGAATAATAAAATAAAGGTTGATCTTTGAACGGAAATGAAAATAATCCTAGTGATTTCTATTGGGAAAATCATAATTATTTGTTATTTTTTGCTGCAAAATCCGGCCTCGACAATGCGAAGACGAGAAACTGTGACAACTGAGACGAATGCCCTTTGTCAAATTTTTTTTAATACTACAATTAGTGAATTAAATACAATAATAATTCTTGGTTAATATAACTTGATAATAGAACTGCATAGTCTTTTTTCGAATTGATCACAATGTCTCATTATTACGAAAATAATCTGATTAGACATTGAGATCAATTTTTTTGTTTTTTATCATTAAAAAACAGATAAATTGGCCCAACTAAAAGTGGGCACGTGCCTTCGTTATTATATTCTGAATTCATGTTTATAAAAAATAATGATTATAAGTGTGTACATACACGGTCATAGTGTAAAACAATGTAAAGTACACCTCAAAAATTCCTTTCCTCGTATGACGATGCTTGAGAGTATATAAAATAACACTCGTGAAACTTGCAGCGAACTGACTGGTAAAACAACACAATATATTTAAGCACTCGAGCGACTATATAAACGCGTGTTACGGTGGAGGTAACAACAGAAACAGAGGACAAGAGCCAAACATAAAAAAACGCTGCACAAGACTATTGTTCATCCAGAGTTTATCGACAGATCTACATTGAAAGGAAAGAGCAGGCGAGGACTCGGTTTAGTACCGGCAGCATTATAATATACTACAAACCGATGCCGTTAAAAAATGACACTGGGGATGTATACGAGTGTAAAAACAATACTTCTGCAGTGATGGGAAAAATTATGTTGTGTGATGTCCATAATGTATATATAAAATTGTAATGTAATGGATACCGGAAGCACATATAAAAAGTGAAAAACAGACAACAATCTAGTGTAAAAATAAACAATTAGTATGAATGCTTTGAGCTTTATATAACATTGAAGCCTAAAAATAAATACTTTATTATAATTTAACATTATTTTACATAAATTTATAATTAAAATTTTTTTTAATGAATTTACTTTATACAATACTAATAATGAAATTTATTTCTTAATTTTATCACAAAAACTTCGTAATTCAAACAGGTCACTCCAATTTTTCATTTATCGGTGTTAATTACAATATTCTCTCGACAGAGACATTCTAAAGGTTTTATTTTAAAAGGCGCAATTTGCACAAGAAATTTATTTACTATCCCTCTAAATTACATCTTCACCAAATATTTATTTTCTCCATGGGGAGGATTCTAACCCCAATATCCCCCATGAGAATACCCCCATGAGAATGCCTTTGGGTATAAATTACTCGAGTAAAAATATTTATAGTAATAAAAAACGTTTACTTTTCCTGCATATGTTTGGGGTCGACAGTTCTAATCCTTACCTAATATTTAACTCAGTATCCTCTTCACACACATCTATTATGAAAAAAGTTTCATGCTCACTAAATTTAATAATAAATTAATGATAAGCAGGCCTGAGACCTTTAACGCTTAAAGTAAAAAAGCAAATTAGCCATCTCTGAAAATTTTTAATCGAAAAACTTCAGTTTTTTCGAGACCTTTTTTTTAATCATAATTTTGGAGAAAGAAAGTTCATATACATTTAAATTCCATTTATCACTTTAGGGCTTAATCATTTGGTCAGCACGAATCAAGTGTTAAAATAATAAAACTTAAATCTGTATTAGTGTTAATTTAATAAACAAGAAAAAAACTATTATAAAAACGTGTTTAGTTTGTTATATAAAAAAAGGCTATTTGTTCTTAGTTATCATCTACTTGCTAACAAAAAAAATTACAGGTAATGTCTGACACTTTTATGGATAATTTGTATAAATATTAAGCTACAAAAAAAATTTAAAAAAAAAATTGCTGAGTTTAATAATATAAAAAATATTGTCTACAAAATGGTTTATTATCAAATTAACGAAGTTTTCATAAACATAGTAACTATTATCAATTAGCCTTTTCTCTTAACTAATTATAAAAAAATATGAAACAAACAATGCAATAGAAAAGAAAAAATATATTTTATTGATGAACTATGTTGATTAAAGCTTGGATACTATTTTTTAATTTAAAAATACGCGCAATGCGTATGACTGCATTAATTAAAATTTGTTTGGTAGAAAATCTCAAAAAAAAGCTGCTAATCGTAGTAAATACAAAAGATTCATTTGAATTTTTTATAAAAATTAAAGTCTTAATTTTCTTAAATTTTTTAACAAAATTATTTATATCTGCTATTTTATTGCTATTGAAATAATAACTAAAGTCGTACTACAATATATATTTAAAATTGAAACATTTGTTGTTGAATAGCAGTTTGTTGTGTTAACTACCAACGACACTGAATTTATCTTTATACTTTATTTCATTGTCGTTATTCATAACTTAATAATATGGTTTAAGGTCACGGCTTGTTTAAATAATATGAATTTTAAAGACACCCCCTCATTATTGTGCCTTTTGTAACAATGACAGTATAATTTTAAACTTGGAACGGAGCTCAAAATATTTAAATATGGACTGGAACAATCTAACACTAAAAAAAAAGTAACGTCTACTACTTCAGGCTATTTTTTTTTTTTACAAAAAATCGAATACTTAATTACGTGAAAACAACCGAGTAAAAAAATTCATTTTAAACGCCTGAAGAAATATTTCACAGAATTAACTGAATTGAACTCTATGGAAACAAATGTATTGTTACATTTCTTAATTTTAATCTAATCTTTTCGTTCTTACTGTTTTGTTATCTTTTCTTATCGTTTTAAACTTTGCATAGACTAGTAATCCTCAAAAGATGTCGGACAAGGAACTTCAAACATTAAACCAAAACGCTGTGGGTCCATTGACAAGAGCTGTCGCTAGCATATGGTCATCATTTAGAATAACTAGGGAACAACCGTCAGGTTCGGTTAACCAACAAGACAACAGTCAAATATCAATTAATCAGCCTAATGAGGCGTCAGCATCTATCGCCGCTTTTAATAATGATGCCAAACTTAATGAAGTATCTGATACATTAGAGTCGGCAGAATCCCTAGAAGAAAATCTGACCTCTTCTTCGTGCTTGTTCGTTGTTCAGTGCTCATCCGAAAAAGACAATTGGGCAGATGGCACTCGCGCCCTTGCTTTTATTTCCACATTCATCAGAGACGGAGTGTTTTATTCGCTGTTTCTTTTTGATAGCCGCTTTGGTATGTCTGAATACGTACCTCTTAATATACACACTGTGGAACATTTGGCATCATTCGTTTTGATCTATTTTGCCATAGGTAACAGTTTCTAGTCTTTCATTAGATTCTATTTAAAAATCAAAACAGGAATTATTTTTAGTGAACAATAACATCAGAAATAATACTATTTTTAATGATAGATTAAATGGATGTGTAGAATGCATTTATTTGATAATTATAGATAATAAAACACACATATTGATAAAATGTTAAATTATGAAAATTATTTTTGAAATGATTATCAGACTGCTTTGGCATAGGAAGTAATCACATTTTTCTGTTTCGAGAGATGTTGACGTTTAACGATTGAATTTCGAGTGGGCATAATCAAGAAAATTATTAAATAATTTTTATCGTTTAAATTTCAATCTGTATACGCATGAGAATTCAAATGGTTTATTAAAAAATTGAACAACTCCTCGATTTTTAATTTTAGTTTAAATCGCATTAGTATTTTTTATTCAATTACAATGTAAAAATTTACATAACCAAAATAAAAACTAATTTAATGTGAAATCCCTCAAAATTTCTACATTTATTTAGTTATAAAAATTTGTTATGATGAATAATTAATTTTTTACTTACTAAAGTTGTGTGGTCTATGAATACAGTAAAATTACATGAAAAACCTAGACAAGTTACTGAACCATCCTATTCTAAAGTCTATTTAGAAACTTTTTATATACTGTTATTTATTTATCATGAACCATTTAACTATCAAAAAAAATAAAAATAATAATGAGAATTTTTCCATGATTTTTTTAGACACACGTTTTTTCAATTTATCAATTATAAAGCATTTTTTATGTTTATCCCTTATACCTTCAATGAAATAAGGGTTATAGTCTTAATTTTTTCAAGTAACAAATACATTATTAAAGCTTATTTAATAGATAAAGATCTAATTATAAAAATGACTAGACGATACTAACTTTTCGACAGTACTTTAGTAGTTATTAACATTTTATAGTGATGGTTGGAGAAGAGAAAGTAGTGCTTTTATTTTTATCACTAGTCGTTTCTCAGAATTCACTCTCCCTCCTCTTTAGTTACAAAAATGTCAATAATACCCTTAATACTGGTTCAAAAGTACTAATCGACCAGTCATATTTTTGCTTAGATCATTATCTATTAGATAAGTTAGTTAATTAGATATGTTACAATATGAAATAATAAAGATGACACCATCATAAGGTATAGGTGATAAACCTAAAATATCAATTTCCAATATTATATTTATTTTTCGATTAATTAAATGGTTTATGACAAATAAATATGAATATACTGAAAATATACATGTCTGATTTAAATTATTTAAACATAGGACAAATTATTCAATTTATTATTTCTTAAATTTATTGTTAAAATTTCATCAAAATGTTGACTATATTTTTAATTTTTTATATTTTAGCACCTTTTACCTGTGCCTTCATAAATCGATATGGTTTTAGATACTGTTTATTTTTTGGCAGTTTAATGACTATCTGTTGGGCAATATTCATGTGGTTATTTGATAGTACATTTACTACTAAAACGGGTTGGATATTAGCAGCTTTAGGCGGTAAGTATCAAAAATTGATTTATTTTATTTTTGACATAAAATTTTATATTTAAACCGTCTTATAAATAATTCATTGCTAAAAAATTCAATGTTTATTTTAGAATGAAATTATAAAAAAAAATTATTAATGATACATAAGTGATTATTACAAAAATTCGATATTGAATTTTATTAAACTTTTTTTATTTAAAAGATTTCAATATACACATACATTTATATATATATATGAGGGTTCAGTAAGTAATGAAATGGATTTCTTTTGTTCTCATTGTTTGTAACAATTGACCTGTTTCCTTACTGTTTGAACTCTTTGTCTTCTACTAAAAATAAACACATGGAAAAACTCATTGGTACAACAAATCAACAAATTTTTTATCAATATACATCCAACAATATTTTCGTTAAATAAATAGTATTTTTTTTTATTAGCTTATCCATTTTTTTTTTTTAACAAATTGATTTATCAAAAATTTATTTTGACACATTTTTTTATTCTTCCAACAAAATTAATGGTTAAATTTACAAAAAAACTATGATTCATATAACCAAAAGTTTATTAGACGTATTTTGATAATACTTTTGTTAATTTTTTTCATTGTAATTATGAAAACAAATTATATATAACAACATGATGTTGTCAACTAAATTTTTATCTAATAAAACGTTTTAAAAATGTGAGATACTATTTGCATCAAACATTTTATGATATCATTGTTTGCTTTTCAATATTAATTGTAATAACCATTTTATGATAAATACACAATCGCCAATGTAGATTTTTGTGAGTAGTTTTAAAATTCAATGCAAACAACAACAAAAACGAATAGATTGAGGAGTGATTGATATCCACGTGTGGGTGTAGATTAATAAGCCCGAACAATGTAGATCACTGTAATCGTCTTGCAGTTTCTCCATGTTGTTTTTAACACCCACTATCACTACCGATGAAATTATTGTATGTAAAACAAAATGTATAATATTAACTCGACTTATACTTGTCCCATAAGGGGCGGGAACGGGCGTGATTCAAACAACGTTCACAGTGCTCTTGTCGTTATTGTACAATATGTCAAGACCAGCGGCCCATTTGTTAATGCACCTGGGCAGTTTTGCAGGTATAATTGTTGTGCCCCCCTTAACAGAATACATAATTCTATTCGTCGGATGGCGTACAGCGTCATTTTTTCACTTCAGTAAGTAGTATGTCTCTTACAAATTCATTTAGAATATATATATGACAATAGGCTAATGCCAACTAAAATAAACATCCTGTCCATTCTATTCTGGACTACTGTTGATAAAAATAATTTTAGAAAAAGAAGAAGATTTTTGTGTCATATTCTTATAACACAATAGTTTATCATATGATTACATAATGATATTATGAAATCATAATTTATAACAAATTTTTTTGGTACAAATCAATCATATGTAGGCATTATAAGAGAGGTGATTTTTGAAGTTAAATATTAAAAATATCAAAACTTATTTATTTATGATTAAATACTGTGAGTGGAGCATAATTTTTAGGAGATGACACTGTATATTTTTATTTTATTTTGGTGAATATTGAAATTAGTGTATCAAACTATAGTTATGTTGCTGATGTCGCTTCTGTTTTGGATACTTGTGGCGATACCGGTCCCACAAAAAATTGAAATTATTGACGACGGTCCAGTAGCATTAAACGAAAACTCAATCCAATCTAAAGCTATGCATGTAGCCAAAGATGTTAATAACCTACGCAGAAATGATAGATTACCAACAGTATGGAATACAATTGGTAACCGAGAGTAAGACTTAACGTTTACTTTGCAATCAATTTCAAGTACGATTGTCTAAATTGAAAATAGCCGTGAACATTTAATTTAATTAACATTGATGATTTTAGTATTGACCTTATTGAATTTGTTTTTCAGTGACGAATTTCAGCTTCTCTGAGTAATATTTTTTTATTCGTTTGTGTTAGACTGCGAGTATTTCCTTTCAAAAAAGACACGCCTCTATTTAAAAGAACCAAGACTCTGAAATCTTTGGGTATCGATCGCAAGCAAAGACTCTACATAATTAAAGAGCCTGAAGTATACTTGAGTACCTTAAGGGATTTTTTCAATGTTCCTTTGATCGGAAGCAGACCTTTATATCGAGACGATGTTCTATTTACTGGTCACGTGTATCATGTCTTAGAAAACGAAATGAAGGTTAAGTTTATTCTAAAAGGGTGGTATTTATTTAATTATTGATTATGACACTAAGTTAGTTAATATTATTTTTCATATAAACCACGCAAACATAAATATCAATACACTTTGTGTTCAATTCAGGACCAAGAATTCTTTTACCCATTACTGATGACTAGAATTATGACGTTGGACGACTTGGAACAAGAATTGAATAAACGATATAAATGCTGGACAACAGCCATGAGCCGACCATTCATTACTCTATTCATGCCCACCATTTGGTATACAAGCATAAAGTTCATTTTGTTAGCAGCTGCCGAGTTCTTCATACATTCGGCCAGATTCGCACCATTCCTATTCCTTAAAGGTTTCTTTAATATTTTGTCTGTATTAAACGAAAGACATTTTTGAACCAATCAAATTCGTATTGCAACCAATAGATTATCCGCAATTGCAATATCGTTCATAATTTGATTCACTTCTACAGTGATTTCTAACGAAATCCAATATTAATTTCAACCAACACTGCTTGCATTTAATGTAATTGTAATCGATTTAGGACCACCGGGCTCGAAGACTTCTGCCGAAACTATGGTGACGTTAATCGCCGGTGGGATAGGACTGTTAGCCGGTCGGGCTATTGGATACATCATGCACGAGACATCATCGCTACCGGTTCCTATCTATACGGTCAGCATTACTTTGATGGCCAACGGATTATGTCTGTTTTTATCTGCTACGACCGAATTGAAAGAAATACTGCCATATTTTCTACTGTTTGGATTGTTTTTCGGTAATCTAAAGTCTACTCTATTATAGTCTACCACACAAAATTTGTTTAATACTCGACGTTGGCATAATAATAATTTCATCCAGAAATTAAATGCGACGTGTCCGCGGCAGGACTTGATTATACATCGCATGTTATATCACAACTATGGGGCCGGGTGGACGATAAAAAATGATTAACAGCATAAAAAATGATGGACTCACGATGATAATGCCAATTTTCGTATCGATCGCGTTCATCGATTGAGTTTGAACGACGCCATGATTTATACGTTGTTTATACACATAGTCGTTTTTTCACCCAAACACCGCACATTATCCACGCGCATGGGACGTGTGTGTGCGCTGGGGACTCGGTTGTTCAGTAGATGTACTGATATATTATGTGATGTATAATTTATGGTATGCCGATGGTTCGTTCGCGTGCACCAGTCGTTTGAATTCCGATTTGTTTTTCGCATTCCAGGCTATTACAATTCTGTGCAAAACGCATTGCTGTACAACGTGTTTCCCGTGCACAAGATCAACAACGTGTACGGACAAATTTCCCTGGTCAAAGCAGTGGCTTCTTTCGTCGGTATCATCGTTGCCGGTACACTGTTAAATTTATAATCTCAAACATCCGACGGCGGCGTCACTCGTTGTTATTATTATTATTATTCAAAGCACTGGACGCCGTTATCGTTGAGAATCTAAATCGCGGCACTTACCCTCTTTGGCACCAATTTATTTGTCTGCCTGTGTAATTTATAGGCCATCTATGATTTATTACAACGACCTGATAACGTTTTAGACGAAACTAGTGGAAACTATTATTTGCCGCCGCCGCGGCTGTTTTATAAGCTGTTGTATTACATTTTTTTTTTTTTTTTTTACGGAACATTTCACTCTGGACGAGTTACATATGTGACCGCTTGACATTATTCTGGTCCCTCGAACTGCGCTCTATTCGAAATTCTTCCATGAATCTCTTGTGAAAGCCGACAAATTCTATTACATCATCAAACGTGTACATTTTTAATAGCAATTTTACAATACCCGTAGGTGTTGTACCGTTTATTTATTGGCCGCTTAAGCAAATACGGGTAATCGGAATGCATATTGTTAATTTTTTTGCCGAAACCCCAGAAAAAAATCCAAGCCGTCCGTTTGATTATATCTGTCGCCACTTGACATTATTACACGTAAAAAGCATTTTGTTAGGTGCAGTACGTAAAGCATTTATAATAACACGTTTAACAATCGCTTTTTTATAGAAAACATAAAGCGAACATTGACGTTTTGCGACCTTATTTTCTGACTACTGGGGTGATACGAATATTTCAATTGGCCACAGATTCGTATTTAAATATTACTCGATATTATATAATATTATCACGATTATTACATCGTAATTCTCTGGTATATTAGCCAATTTACTAACAACTTATTTGATCAAATTGGACTAGTTTTTCAATATTTTTAAGACTTTTTTCTCTTATTAAGTTTGTTTAGATTCCTAGCGTATATCTAGCAAATTAAGTCATTTAAATAATGTTAAAAAAAAAAATAACGTTTCAATTACATACACAAACTGTACTGCCAATGTTATAACATTTCCTCCGAATTTTAAAGACCTGCGCCGATCGCTATCTCCGCAAACATTTAAAAGTATTTTTATTGAAATGATTGTCAAAACGAGATAAAAAAAATATCGTTTGAATAAATTAAACATCTTCCAACGTCGTTTTAACTTATTTAGCAAATGTATAATTAATAATTTATAACTTTTTAAATGAAATGATTCATCGGTAAATGTATATTAGTTAAACAATTATTTTAATATAAAATTATAACATGTTCAAATGATTGAATTTCGTCTTACGTTGAAATCGATAATCTATCGTTTTTTTTTTTTAATTACCCTTACATTAAACACGATTTAGAACGACGATCTACGGGTATTATTAGAAAAACTTAGTTTTCTTGTCGATCAACTTGTAAGTGTATTTTTCTAATAACTCTTAACATTTGAAAAATCATTATTCTTCTGTTATTGTTATGACAGGGCCGCAATATTTTCCCGCGGTGGATTTTGCGTCAACTATTATGTCGTGTACCACTGAAAGCCTAAATTAATTACAATATATTATATGACGTTGTACATATATTTTAACCAAAATGTTTTTTTTGAAAAATACCACCTAATACATAAAACCCGCACTATGTACTGACAATTCGATGTTGGCTACTCGTAAACTTAAATATATTCTGACTTGATCCTTTTGATTAGTTGTGTACAACTCTACTTATAAGGACACCTCCAAATGACAACAACCGGTCGAATAAATAAATCATAATTAAAGTGAAATCTCATTTGTAATAAATATAATTTGTCGACGCCCCCATTAGAAATGTAACAAGAATCATTACAACCGAGGCGTTCCTTATTGATTGGTCTCGGCGGCGGCTAACTTTTTATCTGTACGAGTGCGTACCATACGTGTGAACGTATACACTAAAAAAATATCGATTCGTATCGAAATTATACGAACTCGTTTTACCTAATCGGAATAGTATTTTACATGATTAAATATTTCGACGCGATAGATCCGACGGTACGGCTTATTCCCTACACTTGTCACTAAATAATTGTCAAACTGTGTCGATAACATATTGTTTTTTATGTGTTTTTTAGTCGTTATCGTGCAAAGGGACAACCGACAGAGCACAGAGCGCGTGTACATATACGCCGGCCTACTCATGATGGCTGCCGGAACATGCGTAGGGATTTTGCAAGCCGCCTGCAATTGCTTGAGAAACAATTGCTCATCTCCGTTGATCTGCGACAGCATCAAACGTCGACGTTTGTCTTGTTCGACCAACAAAAAGATGGCAGTGTGTCCACCGATGGTCGCGTTGTGATTTGCCCTGCAACACTCACATTATTCAACGACTATCATTGTAAAAAATGTAATAAATGAAATGCATCTGAATGAGTTGTTTTGAATTTTCCCAGCAAAAGTTGTACCGTATTTATTTTGGCTCGGTGTAGTTTATTGAGGTGTACGTGTATACTTCACTACTTCCATACACTATCCGATTTCTAATACTGAAAAGCGCATTTTCTTCAGTGTTTACGCATCACTGCGTTTATATTGTGTACAGTTTACGGTACTTTGCAGTATTGCGCGTTCAAGTTATACCGGATCTGTTCAAGCAAACAGCTTTTCATCAAGGAGGAGTTGACTCCGGCCATTTTGTCGTCGTGTCATGTACACCCACTCCTCTCGAGTACATACCGACTCAACGGGCAAACCTGGGAGTTTATTGCTGAAAAGACAGAACAAGAGCTCAAGTTCAATAACATCCGAGTTCGTATAAAAAAGATTTCACGTGGTCGTTCAGCGACGTTTGAAAATCGGTATTTGTCGTTAAAAAATAATCATAATAATAACGTACTAATAGTAAACTATTAATAGTTAAGTGTCGGATGGCGCATGCGGCTGTCGAGTTAACGTGGCTTTACTGTTCTCTGGAAAAAAAGTGTTGAAAAATAAAACACTATACGGACTGATTTTCTCGGAGGTGGCCGGTGGTGGAAGGGTTCTTTTTTTATTGTTCTCTTTTATTCTTTTTTACTTTGTCCTGCCTCTCCTCCTGGCCTCGTCCAATAAGCGCTCGATGGGCGTCGTTGCCCGGGCGGCGCCCCTCCGTAGGGAGGTGGTGGAGATGCCTTTCGGTATGGGCATAGACGAGAACGTCGTTCAGTTCAACGTTCGACGCCGGTACCGGTCGCACTGGGTAGTGGCACATTCAGTTCCGTTTCGTTTGTATAGAAATATATCAATTTTTTCAATCTAACACTGACTATTTTTTATTGATTAATTCGTTTTCAATATATCCGATTTTGTCAACGCGTGTGAGTTTTTATTTCGCCATATTTTTTCCGTGTTCAATGTTCGTGATCTTCGGTTTCCAGTTGGACATTGATTGAAAGCATAACAAATCCGCTTTAGCGCTATGCTAGTGCCCAACAAAATAGCCATCAAAAGTTACTGATAAAGGATACCCGTAAACCTCAATAGTGAGTGCAATAGTTATATAAAATCGAAAACGTTAATCGATACAAATCCACTGACACGGCGTTATAATTAATCAATTTTTTGCCAACATTTCTAGTTGTCGTTTAATTTCCTACGTGTTAAATTGACATTTTTACTACATCGATTTTCAATGAAAAGAAACTTTTCTGCTACGATAATTATCTTTTCTATCCGGTGTTTATCGGTGTAATGATATTTTTCTAGATTTGTTGACGATTCTATTTAAATCAAATAAATACACAATTACTTTGACATCACTAAACTAGATTTAAAAAATGTCGGATCAATCGATCATTTCTAAGTATTGTACTAAACTTTTGTGACAGCGTACCTTACCTTTCTTGGTACATTCGTATACAAAATATAAAAGTAAAATAATAATTTATTATGTTTAATATGGTGAAACTTTTTCATGACTATAACTCAACTCGGTTAAGGATAAAATACTCTTTAAAACAGAAATCGTGCATTTTTGCAATTTTTAAAAGGCAGTAGAATATTAATCCGAAAAACTACGTAGACCCTACAAAATAAAAAACACCTGGACTCGAATAATTCCATTAATTAGTATTGGTTTAATATTTTGATTAATTATTCATTTTTTGAAGGTTTACATAAATCGCCATAAAGTATGTACAAGGATTTCTCAAAACATTTTTCATTTGTGATGTTAAAGAGAAATCCTAGTTGGTTAATTCAAAATTATTTATTTGCATTTGATAAATTATAATGTGATAATAAGTATAACAATAACCATACGTTCGTTAACTCAAAATTTTTTATCATTTTCCAACAATTATTTATTCAATGACTTTATCTTTTTTACTTTCTTTTAATAATATACAGGATTTTTTTATTTTAATTTAATATTTTAAAGCTGACCATTTATTATTTTACTAATTTTGTTGATAAAATTCAATTCAAATAAAATGTATTAATTAGTTAAATAAATGATTATTGAAAATCATAAATATTAAGATTAATGAATTTATAATTAAAATTATTTCATGATATTATCATATCAAATGGAATTAAATAACTTTGAATTACCCAACCCGACTATGATTTCTTTTTAAAGTCAAAAATGTTTTGAAATTACATATACATATCCTGAGGCGATCTGTCAAAACTAGTGGGACATTCTATATATTTATAAAAAATGAAAACAATTTCTAATTTAAAATTATTACACAAAATGAATAAAAATTTATAAACACATTTAGTTAAAATATATATGAATATAAAATTATTGAATGTAATTCAAAGTGTGTTGATTCTTTTGTAAGTAAATTGCACGATTGAATATAAACTAATTATTAGTTGCATACAATGATACGCCTTTTAATTTTTCACATTTGTTTTATCAGCTTAGTACATCGTGTTATTTAGATAACCGGTGTCGTTTTACATTGTGCTTTGTAGAGTGTAAACAGCGAGTTTGACATGAGTTTTTGGGGTGCGCTGAATTCAATTACATGACATACACACACTTATTCATAGAAGTACCCGTTTATAATAATATTTTCTATCAAAGTGAACTTACTATTACAGCTACCTGTTATTTTGGGAGATAAGCCGCCTAACAATTGTTGTGGGTAGTTAAATTGTTTAATTCTATTCGCTGGTTTGAATATTTTTTAATATGCCTGACTTTATATTTTTAGAGGATCTTCGAGTGTATTTGGTTGAGTAGTGCTTGATTTATTACAAATATTATAATGATCGTGTTATTTTTACACCAGTTATGTTGAACAAATTAATTTTGCATATCTAATAAAAATATTAATTCATCGAAAACTAATTAATTTATATCTAGTAGCTCTTTACTAACCTTAAATGTAAACGTTTTATTCTTCAATGGGTTAATTAATTTGTCAAAACCGATATTATGTTTAGCACATAATAGTGAACATGCATATGTATGTAATTTTCGAATTATGGTGATTATGATAATAATAACTGTGTGCTATACTATAACTATAATTTAAAATAATTAATTGTTTATTACATACCTATTTTACATAAATATATGATATAAGAATGTATTGGAGTATACACGATAATAATTTTTAAGCCAAAATTAAATATATATTTTCACTTCACTGCGAAAAAAAAATAACCTTATCTATTAATACTTCAAATTTCCATAGAAAGTTAATTTAATAAATAAATAAAAATACTAAATTTACAATAGTTGTAAGTTCACATTATAGTTCTCAATATATAGTATAACCATTATGATGGTTACAATAAAAAAAAATAAAGTTACACTAATTATAACTAGTATAACTTAATTTTTTTTTTATCCATAATCACACCCAGCAAAAGATAACATTTAGTCTAATTATACATATTGTACTTAAAAGTATGCTTCGTCCAAATATATATATATTGTAAGAATTTATACTAAATTATAAATGTAAAATTCAGTAACAATTATTTAATAAAAAAAAGTAAAAATTTAGAAAACTAAACACTTTCATTCATAATGAATTAAATAAGTTTACAGACCGTGTGCTCCGTGAAGTGTATAAATACTGGTAATTCGCAGTTTTTGTGTGTTATGAAAATTATAATTACTGACTGCAAGTAATTGTAAACTCGTTATCAGGTGATCTCGTTAGGACCTAATATTATAATAGGTTGTGCGCTCAGAATTTTAGATTTAAATTTGATTGTTAAACTAACTCATAATGTATTCAAAACATGAGATATTTTCAAAATTTAACATGTTTATTTCATTAACTACATCTTGTTTGTTAATGTTTTCAATCATTTATTAATAATTTGTAAAACTAAAAACCTTCAATGTTTTTTTCTATTGTAACGATCGTAACAATTGAGGTTCTTCCGTCTATCGAAATAGTTAATTTCAAACATTATTAATAATTTGTATTTTTTAATTTATTTTACCATAATTGTTTTGTGCATCATAAAACATTTTTTTTAAAAATATAACTTCTATATTTAAATTATTTATTAATTAATAATATAACTTGTATATTCTGTTTACATTAAAAATTAATTTTTTAATTTTTATTTGATGCTTTAGATAAATATAAATGATATTATTCGAATATTATAATTACTATTAATTTAATAATATAAAATTGTCACTAGTATTTTGTCTTGTAGTGTTATAGATACCAACACTTTATACTTCTGAACATTTTTAATCTAATTAATATTATTATTTTGTGTAACATACTCAACTTTAACGGGAATTCAAAATCGTTGACGGCAAATTCGTTATTTTCAAAAAAAATTTGATTAATTTCACATTATGACAAGTGGCGTTTATAAAATAGATTTTACTTAGTTTTTTTAAAATTTTCTACTTTACTAATAGAAAAAATATTCTCAGTTAATCTTATTAATTAATATATTGTTGGTATATAGGTTTGCTGTGTGGTGTCCAACATAAAGCGGTATGGAAATGGCTGCCGGCATGGAAGTAGTCGGCGGTGCAGGTTCTCATCATCACCATCACCATCACGGACATCACCGGAGTTGGTACGATACACCGACCGCCTCGTCGTCATCTTGTAGAGATGAACCTCTTGTGGCCGATAACATGTCGGACCATATGAACACATTTTTTGCGCACCACCACGCTGGTGCCCTTGACGGTCATCCCGCAGCAAGGGATTATCACCATCATAGAGCTGCAGCGGCTGCAACGGCTGCAGCGGTCGCGCCGTATCACCGGGACTCGCTAACCGTCACCGCCCGTTACTACCACCAACAAATCCATTCATCGTTCGCACCACCTCCACCGACTTCATCACACGGTAAGAATATTTTTCGCAGGCTTTAAAACATATTTGACACGTTCAAAAGGACAATTCGTTGTTGTAACATAACTATTAATTTCTCATTGACAACAATCGAATATGATAACGCACATAAGATTACACGACTGTACAATAAAAATGTTATAATCCGTTTAAATGTACATCTAATACCGACTCGCGTTTCACAAACGTATTACGTTTAAGTTATGATCGACGGCAATGTTTTGTTTTCGCGGCCATGTTTGTCGTTGGCTAATTCGATATTCCAGTAAAAATTACCATATTTTTACTCGTTACGGTGAGATAAATCGTTAAAAGCTTTCCCAAGGAAATTTTTACGATTTCCCGCGCTAATAGTCACTCATGCAGCTCCGCAGCAGAAAATTCAAACAAAACAACATAATGAGTGCATTTGGCCGGTATGACGTACTTTTTGTACGCCCAGTGCAAAACAGAATATACGTTTTAACGACTTAATTCATTAATAATTAATTAATATGAATATAAATACTGACGACCGGACATTGAGTAATTTGCAAGTGTAGAAAGTGAAACGTTCCGAGTATAGATATTGTTAATTTTTTCAATTTGAAATTTTACTTTGTTGTTAATCACTAATGTTCTCGTACATATGAAAAACTCCGTCAAGGATTTATGTTTATTTTTATTATGCCGCGATGGCCAGCAGTCACGGACGAGATAGCACACTAAAATTTTCGATGGCGCTGGACTGTTTACACCTGGCTGACCACCAAACAGAGCGCCACGGTACCGTAGGCCCGGCCACCATACGTATATTATCTGTGCGGCCGTTCTACACGGCTATCATTAAATGGTGGAAAAATAACAATAATCTCGGGTGCGTTATTACACGAGCACACTATTGTTTATGAAGCCGAGAACACCTCCTGCGCCCACACCGTACCGAAATTGTACACTGAAAGTCCCGAGCGCGCGCGGTTCCCCTGTTATTTGTGATATCGTTTTCAGTCGGCAAACGTTACACCGTCGACTCCTCCGTACGGTGGGCACCGTCAACGACGTCCACGATCGGGTACACGATAATTAAACCGCGCGCACTTAAGAACATACACTTAAAAGCAGTGTGGTTTTCACCGCGCAGAATCGGTAATTTCTATGTAAAACCGCAGTTCGATAAACTCAATGGACAAACGGTGGGCGGATCATTCGAACTGGAGTAGTCATCCGCGCGGCTGTTAATATTTTATTATTGTTATTATTATACGACCGGAGCAGAAACACTTTCATGAACCGACGGCGGTTCACGAGAGGGCCGATTGCGGCGGCCACTTGGTCCAAACCGCTCTTTACCCGGATCGTTACATATATTATTACAGAGCGACGCATTTTGAATAATATGTATTAATATTGCCTGCAATTACAGTCGGAAAACAAAAATATTGTATTTGATGTAATAACGGGCTAATTTTTTATGTTTCTCTTCTGTGGGTTCTCTTCGACCGTAGTCGGTCTTCCGGTCGGGTCAGTGTGTACGCGGCCAGCACCGGATACGGTGTAAGGTTCTCATTAAAATTGGCTCAATAATAAAAAAATGTATAAAATAATAATACGGAAAAAATATGAAAAACAGATAAGAATCTGTCGTCATATAATACATCCTATTCTAATTTTATTTTTTTAAATTACATGTAAATACATAGCTCTATTTTGTACGCACGCATAGGTATAGAACGCAACAGTATAACGACCAGAATAAACATGATATATACACGAAAAAACAATAGTAATAATAGATGTGTTTTTTTTGCCGTCAGCTTTGTATGCAGTTCGAGTGAATATATAAATTCGACAGAAATTCAAATCTGCCAAAACTATTGCGTTACAATGAATCGATAACAATAAACAAGACCCAGTTTTACGATTTGCGCGATTGCATACCGCCGAATACAATCGCCTCATAAAACGTCATCACCTTTGGCATTGGGCCTAAATAACAACAAAACTCACCGAAACGTATCTGAATTCATTACGATAATTCGTCTACCCGATTTATATGCGACATTTGATTAAGCCAACGCTTAATACTTCTCTGACTTTTACCTTAATCGATGTAGTTATTTATTTTCAAACGCTGTCCGCGCACATATTTCGTGTAGAAGCATTCCCCACATCTAAAACGGTGCGACCTATTCGTATAGTCTGTTTTGACTTTGATATTGCCATCACGTTTTTGGTGTTTTTGAATTCGATTGTAATGCCGCCGCCATTGCTTTGGTCTTCTTCGTGGAAACCTACTGCGATTTCGTGTTACGCCCAAAATGTTTGCATACATTACCGAGTTCGTGATAGTTTTAAAACCCTGACGGTTTGTTTTTAAGCATTTTCGCTCTAAAGGGTAGGACGGTCGACTTCACATAGCCGGCGGATCGCTTTATTAATTCAAATAAACCGAGAAAAAAAGTTTCCCAACGGGGCATTTCTTAAGGATTCTTTTTTTATTCTTTAATTCCACACCGCACGCCAACGCAGTTATTGCACGTTGTTTGCATAATATTGTATAAATCGTCGAGTTTTGTGTGCTTGCCGACGTCTCTGCCACGTCCGAGTGGCTCTCGAATAAAACACACGGGAAACAACAGCTATAAAAATAATAATAATAATAATTCTTGAATTTTAAATTGGGCGAGATTTATTCGCCGTTTGTTTTTCGTGTCCTCTGCCGGTTGATTAATCGACTTGTTCTCGTAGACACGACCGGCTCTCTCTCTGTCGTAGCGCTTTTTTGTCGCCCTAGACCGCTCTGCCATACATTCCACCGTGCCCCGAACATGACGGTTTCCACGTCCATTTCATCTAAAAACAAAGACATTCTAATGAAATGTAATAAGGGGAATTTCCAAATTAACTACTAATTTATTTACGTTCGGACGCAATAATGATTCATCCAAAAATATAAACAGTCGTACGGACACGGTGGCTAAGTGCTATAATTGTCGGCCTTCCAGGAAAACGCCGAGCAGGCCTTGTATGCACAAGTCAACGTATATTATTGTAATAATTCACGTCAAAAACAATGTGTGGTACCTAGGGCCTAATTAACAGCGGTACTGCGAGAAAGACTATTAATAAGATTATTAGCTGTACGCGTTTCGTTCGTCAAGGATACCAAGCTCGATTATTATTGTTGTGTTCTATTTTTCGTTCGTTGCAAGTGTGGAGCTTCTGGTAAGCGTCCGTCAAATCGACAATATCGGTCGTGTCCCTCTGCCAATCGTTTGCCGCTAATAAGAAGCAGCAATAACGTTATTACAATTACAGAAGAGCTTAAGTAGGTATTATGCGTGAAAACAATGAGCCGCCGAATAATAATAGTAATGAAATATACCAACGATAAGGTGGTAACAAGTGCGTTTGGAATGTGTGTCTGTTAGGTGGTGGCCCATTGTTGTGATCGTGAGACTGTGGCACCTTTTTGGTCGCTATTTGAATTATAAATCAATTTGAGCATAGCCGGAAATACCTCAGTATGTGTTCGAAAAAGCGCTACCACACGCCTTACCATAATAATATTATGTATTCTCACTCTGTGCATCCTAAGACGTTTTTATTAAGTACTTCTTTATGCGGCGGACGATCAATTTATTTATTTTAACAGTTTTTCGGAACCTTTGTACCTCGATTTTTTACCACAAATATTTAATTATTTACCTCCTCCGCAGCACCGCGTAGCGTGTCACGCATAGTCTACAATAACAACTGAATGTTTTTTTTTATGCGCACGGGTTTTGAACGAAACCAACCGAAATACATTCAAAATGAAACCATAATTACACGTAACGTGTCCCCCCAAAAGACTGCACAATTGCTTCGGGAACTCCTCTGCCCTTCGCGATATCAGTGCGGCGCAACAACACAACGCTTTTAGGGGACGAAACAAAATGGCGGTATTCATTTGGCTCGTTTAGTTTTACACACAAGATTTTATTATTGTCACTAGAAAATGTGCACGCCTCTTGAGGATCACGTGTAAAACGTATTTATTCGGTCTAGTGTCGAGGCTCGCGCCTTATTCGCGAAGATTTAACTAAATCTAAAGGATTGTGACTTAATTCAGACGTATAACATGCCACCGGAGGTGCTAATTTTTTCCATTTTTTTACACAGCGGTTCCGACGGTCTGATATTTAACGTTAGCTCGGCGGGCGTTTGCCATTATATGTTAATGTACGTAAAATGGAAACTCCCGTCGCGGTAGATTAATGTCGAACACGGTAAAAACCATTCGTCTTATTCGCACGCGCTGCCGTGTTGTTTCTACTTGAAATCATAAGACTCACAACACACTACACGTGGGTGCCCAGTACACGGGGTGTGATATATTACTTGTACGGGTTTAGATCGCCGCTGGTTCTCAGTGTTGGCGTACGTTATGTTGTATTTCAAACACACCAACGACGGCGGGCGGTAGCTAATTTGACTAATGGACCGAGGCCCCGGCAGTGACGGGCGCGTGTCAAAACTGTTCCTTTTTTATAAAAAAAAAAAACTACGTTTCTTTGGTGCTCAAAGACTCAATTAGTAAATTGACAACGGCGAGGTTCTTCACACGCGATCAACGATGCTCTTGGGATTTTGTGTGTGTGTGTGTGTGTGACTACTCGATGTTACTGGCTACTGTTTGTTTTTGCTTTGTCGGTTCGATTTTATTGAACAAACGGCTTTTTAATATGTGGCGCATGACCCGTGGCCGCGGCAGTGTCACATATCTTCTTGTAATAATTATAATTTTGTTTAATACACACACGAATGCGATCCATTGCCGATTTCTAGCACGTTCCTCCTCTCTTTTGGTTTTTTTTTTTATAAGGTGTCCCGAAGAATAAAGCGGGTTACGAACTGAAATAATTATTACTTCAATGCACCTTCCACAAAGACACACGACTGTACGTCATTAGCGCGACAATTTACTTCACCTGTCCACTAAGGCCTGGTGCCTCAAATAAGACTTCACCTGCAGTCCAACCGTTAACGTAGTTTTTAATTTTTGTCAGAACTGCTACGCCAACATATTACTTGAAACAAAAACACGAGGAAAACTGGCACATAGTTACTTGAGAGTTCACGTGAACTGCAGGTAGTGAAGTATTAAACTGTCTAAATCATAATACAAGAATTTTGTCGATAAGTAATATTCCATTAATAATCTCGGAGGAACACCGACGAGTCCGGTTATTGTTTTTGTAACTCGTTTCTCTTCCTTTATTAATTTTCAATAGTGTCTATAAATGTATGGGAGGAGGTGTTCATAAACAGTTGTACGTGATGTTCGACGGATAATTAAAAAACATTCATTAAAATCCATTCGATTAAAACCGAATCGCGCGACACGACGCCATTGATGCTTTGATGTTGTGTCTTGTTCGTTAGAATTTGTCACGTACTAGGGTGGTACCGATCTTTGCACCACTAAGTACATCCAACACATGGTATGTTGACATTGAAGAGATGGAGCAGATAGCTCACGGCCCACAGTTTGTTCTTTTCAAAATGCGTGCGAACATATTTAAATGGTTCGTTCAAAGAGCAGTACTTAAATTAATTGAACGACTACAATCCCAATGATCAAATCGAGTTCAATTTAAAATCCTCGCGAGTTTTTCGACTTGAATAAGGTATCAAATCTTTTTCAAAACCAAATGAGTAATTACATAACTTTTTGTTGTCTTAAGTTGCCCTCGACTCAAAGTTTGTTAAGGATAATGTAATTAGTAACTATTATTCGTCTTAAAAGCAATACACGCTGTTATCTTCTTGTTAAAAGATTCCTAAAATAACGGTGCTCGGATTAATTAAAATAATGTGTTTTGGTTGTAGGATCGTCGAGGAACATGTGCAGGCCGTCACACTTTTCCCATCCGGCGGCCGCCTGGCTCAACGGTGGCTCCAACAGTAACGGAAGCAGCGGCGGCAACCAGCTGCAGGAATCCAAGCTGCAGTCGTCGTCTCCGGCCGGTGGATGGTTTTCATCATCACCCACCGTGGACGATGCTCCGTCCAAAGAACTCCAGCATGGAAGCGGCGGAAACAGTGGTATTGGAGGTGGACATCCGATGTTCACATTTCCTCCAACACCCCCAAAAGACAGTACCCCTGACTCAATGACGACCACTACGACGACGGCAACCAGTTCATCGTCTTCTTCTTCGTCCAGTAGTGCGGCGGCCGCAGCGGCGGCTGCAGCAGCTTATTCTATTGCGTCCATGGGCGTTTTCCTACATCCGGATAATCACCAGGGATGTGGTGGTCAGGACGTGAAGCCCTCAATGCTCTCTGGCGGCGGCGGTTCGTCATCAAAACAACGCGAAGGTATCACCGCCACGGCGGCATCTTCGGCGTCTTCTTCCGGCGGCAGCTCGTCGCCCGGTAGTTCGACGTCTTCCTCTTTTAACGCGTACCACCTTAACCACCACAACCAACACGAGCCAGTCGCTGCAACCGCAGCGCCGCCCTCATCCTATCACTACTCCTATCATCATCACCATTCGGCCATAGCGCCAACAGTTTTCTCGCCAGCAAAACACCCCTCATCCTCATGCCATTCGCCCGGCAACAATGCCATGAAATCGTCTTCTTCCTCATCGTCCAGAAATAAATCTAGAACCAGCGCCGGTAAGCCCCCACTGTAAAATCGCCTCATCTAACGCGACCCGCACGTTAACTAACACAGCTTTTTTAATTAATCAAATTCTTATTTATTTACAAGGCTACATTAACACACTAATCTATGTAGAACACTTCGCGTATTTCTTGACGCCATATTAAATAATATTTTTCCAAAATCCTTCGTTCTCAGTCATATGAATAAGACATACTAACAGTGCTAATAAATTTCTTATTGTTCTAACGCTTGGATTTTATTGCGCAGTTGTAACGCATAAATACAATGTGTCGTACAACTATTGGCTTTAAATTATTATAATTTTATGTGATAATGTCGGGCTCAACTAAAAACAGGTTATGTTTTAATATCGCACAATATTGTTGACAATTGGTGTGTTATATCGGCTTGTCGGCAAATAAGTGGCATTTATGAGCAATACACACTTTCAACGATAAATCAACACAAAATGGTGCTCATATCTCGTAACAACCGACAATTTCGTACACGTATTTAATCATTCAGACTCTTAATTTATATGCGACTGCCTTCAGATTTCTAAATATAAGTTTCGATTTAAACGACACGCTAACGTGATTAAATATCAAAATATTTAACCATTCCTTTTTCAACACTTTTTTTCGAAATAGAAAATTCGCCAGCAAAGGTAATGAAACCGCATTTTTTAAATTCGGGACACAACACGCCCGCAACATTCTGACACTCTGCCAATATAATCAATATAATAAGCCTAAATAACATAGAAGCGGCATGATGATAATAACATTGCGACTCCCCTCGACAGCAGATAGGTTAATAATGACTGTTATTTGTCGTTATGTTGTGCATATTGAATGTGGTATGTCCGTGCAAATTTTCAACTGACCTCTAGTTACTCTTGTAATATGATGTATAAACTAATATTTACTCTGTTGTACATATTTTTACTTTATTTATAGAATGGCATTTGGTTGAGGAGTTCTTTGCTTGTAGTTGTAAATATAACACTAATAATTTTAACCTTTTGCGAAGTACTCACTGTTTAACTATAATTTGATTATTTAACTGTTTTTTGTTTATATTATTATTGTAATTAAGTGGGTTAAGTCCGCTCGCACATGCATAACGTGTATTTAAAGAAAATGTATTAAAAAACGACCTCGACTGGCAAGTTTTGGTCCAAGTAAAACCTTGGCCCGAGTTTAGTACGCATGAGAATAGCGTTCGCCAGTCCGTTTCCTGTGCCGTCACAATCGCTATTCTGTAACAAGACACAGTCATGTTATCAAAAAAAAAAACGCTAATCGAACACAATTCTAATTCGCCAAGTATTCGCTGAAGTTAAATGTAATATTTTATACATACGAACGATACACTTTTTTTACAATAGATAACAGCTCTTCATTTTTAATAATACTGTCGTAGAACGGCGGCTGCTGATCCTTTTCAATTTTCCAATTGACCAGTTAAGATTCTCTGATAAGTAAACCCGATATAATGCATTTACGGGGGGAGGTTAGAGTCGTCTAAGAGGATTGGAAAGGAAAAAAGAAATCTTTTCTGCGACTTGGACGACAATAACAATAGACGCACAGTGCGTAAATGCGCAGTGCTACGTTTGACAGCTAATAATACTATGAAAACAGGAAACCTTGGCGAAATAGTATAATGAAAGAAAAAATATCAAAAAGTAAACATGTTTTTGTACGGATACCCAAATTATGATTATCGTAGCACACGGTTCAGTAAGATTAGAGTGAGAATACGTTTTCCCTTTAAACCATTCCAACGGGTAATTCGATAGGTAATGATACGGCTCCATGCGGTCTAATTAGTCTTGTGCTCGGTGAAATTTACATATAGAAATGTATAGAGTGATTTTCTCCTTATAATACACAACCCACGCATCACGCGCCTGGATGTTGTTAGATTACCTTTGATGATTATTGTTATTATTCTTTTGGTAGTCCGAGCTAACACGATACTGTTGCAAAAAACTTCATACGAAAAGCATGTAATACCATGTGTGTGTGTGTGTGTGTAATTATGACAACCGTGTCCGGAAAAACAAATCGTGACATGTCAGAAGTGTAGCCAATTAAAGTAACAAGCACAAAGGAAAGAATAACTCGAAATCAATAACAATGTTGTGGATAAACAGGGAAGAGCGATTTCGGTCGCGAGAATCCATTCCGTTTTACTTTAGTGTGGTACTCATTTTTTTAAGGAACTCTTGTGGCGCGCGCTCGGCATGGGGCTAAACGATTTTCCATCGACTCCTCGGAGAGTCGATTATCACAACATTAAGTGACATTTTTTACGTTTAATCTTCCGATTAACTCCATTTTGTCACGATGCGCGGACTTGACCGACTCTGGTGGTGTTGGTGTTTATTGCAGTTGTTACTATTTTTGCATAATTACATTAATATTATGATTATGTGTGTTGCAGAAGGACGCGAGTGCGTGAACTGTGGTGCCACGTCGACTCCGTTGTGGAGAAGAGACGGTACTGGACACTACCTGTGTAATGCGTGTGGCCTCTACTATAAAATGAACGGGCAAAACCGGCCGCTGATTAAGCCCAAGAGACGTCTGGTGAGTAACTATCGGCACTATTGTTTGCTTTTGGCGCTCGTTACGCGCACAATGAAATTAATATTATTGTTCTACCCGTGCGCATTTCGTTTTATGTGCAGTGCTCTTCCATTGCAACCAAAGTAGGAATTCATTGCATCGTGTAATCAAAATACCACCGTGGCCTTACTGGGGGGGACATGTCGAAACCGAAACCCGTTGAAAATGTAAATTTATCGTTACACTGCACTAATAATAACCAATACGGAACGACAAGAAATATCTAATTTGTATACCGGCCGTGTTTCCCGTGTTAATAGCCGCCGTGAACCGACAGGGGTCAAATCAAACCTGTCCGATGGCCATAATAATAACATCCAACGCGGTTTTTTGTGGCCACCGATTGTCGCACATTTTGTTTACACATTAAACGACAAGCGTTACTAAAATCGTTGAAAGGAAAACAAGTTTTCTGCGTTTATGACTTGGTGGGCGCCGGTATCGACCAAACCGAGAACATTATTAGGAGGTATAAAGGAAAGAGTGTAGCAGTGTAGTCGAATTCAACGTACCGTTTGACCGTTGTATTGATTTTTTTAATTTACACCACTTTTTAATGTATTCTGTTCATTCAGAAATGCACAAAACAGCATGTTCTTACAGCTGTCGTTGCCGAACTCCGTCAGCCATGTCAACAGCATTTTGAGGGGGCTGAGCTACACACACACCGGGGGTTTTTCGTTTGCCCCTATATAGAAAAAATATCCCTCGGGGTAATAACCGGTCGTGTTCCGGTCGGGAGAGCGTTTGTCAATTGGCCAATGGCGTGTTTTAATAATAGTATACATCAGCATAATATTGTTAGTACGATTATGGTCGTCACCGTTTATATTATAATTTGTCTCGGTCCAATGTCTCCTCTAACTACCGATTCCAGAGTGTATTACTACATTTGTACTATTCAACATATTTTTCCCGAATAATATTCTCCTGCCTTCAATGGCGACACAAAACATCGTTAAGACCGTTCGCCCAGACCTTAGCTCTTCGCATATCATTTACATATAATGGACGAGACTTGCTCAGAGTTGTGCGCTGCAGCTAAACACTTAGGTGTTAGACCATACGACGTGTTTTGTTTGACGAATTAAAATATATATTTTCAATTCACGGGCCTTATCAGACACCGTGCAGCACTGGCTGGTCGAATTCAGCGATTTATAACATATTACTATAATTTGTACTGTTCACCCGGCGCGAGTATATGTACGAGTGTTTAATGGACCGACCGTCGGTGACTCTTGCCGGGCTCCGTTCACTGGAATTATAAACATAAAAACCAAATAAGTGTGCAAAGAAAGAGAGGGTAAGTGTGTAATCCGATTTCACCCGAGTCACTGGTCCACACAATTCAATTTCTACGTTTTTTGGACAAACTTTTGCTCTCTGTTAAGTAAAACTATTGTAGTCACGGTGAGGAAACACAAAATTACATCATCGTCTATCCTAGGCGTTTGTAAATAATTACCATATTGTTCCAGTGGTCAAACACATTAGGGTTTATTACCGTGTATATTAACTTTTCTTTTCAATGTTTTCTCTTACGCACTGCGGATACCTCGCGCTTTTACTTTTTCAACTAGCACACGCACTGCTGGAACTTTGCCGTATCCAAGCTTTCCACATATGCTAAACTATTGAAATCAAACTCGTGCGCTCAGCATGACACACACGGTCTACCGGAGTTAATTAGGGCAAAGCCCCCGTGTAAATAATGCTAAATCGGCGGCACGTCAATCCTTACAAGGCAAACAGTACATGCCGGTCTGTCGGCCAAGAGCCACTACTATTTTTACTACGATTACTCCTCCGTCTTCTTCTTATTTTGTCGTGTACACAGTGTATGCAAATTCCGGCTTTCGTTTAAACAAACTGGGATGCGGTAAAAAGAAATACTCAACTCCAGTCGGCTCTTATAACATTACCCGACAGCGTTGTGTGTGTGTGTTGAGGTCCGCCGATTGATTCGACATCAGAATGGCAGAAACAGGCACGTTCTGATAACGCGGTTGACAACGCAGTAACCTGCGTCTAATTGAACTCTGCCGATATTTATTCTTTCTTCCTTATTATCCCAGTAAAAACCAAAAAGTGCCATCCGGACATATCGACTAATAAGTTTACTTATAAGGTCTATGCTCCTCGTTTATTCTTATCCGAGCCCAACCATTATTTCAGAAACAGTATTACTCCCTAGGATCTCACGACCGTTATAAATGATAGGTTATTATTTGACGAAATTTCACCGTGGATCTCGCAGAAAGCATTTTTTATTATTTTATTAACCACGGGAGAGAGATCGGACCCTTTAAAATTTACCATTTTTCGCCGGTGACCCGCATGATAAGCGCTCGGAGAATGAATAAAATAATCCAACGAAACCTTTGGTTAGAATAGGCTGACAGCAGAGTAGAATTAACGGGGACGATATACACACTACGGCCGTTGTGCCCCAACAACGACAGAGGAAGAGGGGGCCGTCCGATAAGAATCGCGACGCCCCGTAAACCAGCAGGCAATAGAATAATTCCCGGGGCCGTTACAGTGAGCACGCGAGGGGTAGCAAAGGGGTGAATAGAAGCTTATACGGGGTGTGGTGGTGGAGGTTGTAAAAATGTATTTCGCCCCTCCTCCAACGGACACCACCGCACCAGTGTGTGTGTGTGTGAGTGTTTTGTGAAAAGGGGGTCGATATTCTATCGACTGCGCAATTGCCGGCCGCAACGATGACGGTTCTTTCCCCTTATATACAACTCATCCCCCTCGCCTGTTCACACACAAGCACATACATCGCGAACTCACTACAAAAGTACCGAAAATAGCAGTGGTGGCACACCGCGGGAGAGTAGGGTACGGCGTAGGGACATGTTGATAAATGATCTTTTCGGCTTTCCCGCAGCTCGGTCATACACAAAGTATATACCAGTCGATTTGTGCATGGCGCATGTGTATGCCGATGACAAAGCTCCCTTGTTCCGTTATCTTCTGTAAACGTTGTACGAATCCCTAGTGATTTATTATTATCAAAACTATCCCACCGCCGTCATTTTTCCTCTCGGTATATCTTTTCCTTTGTATTCACATAGAAAAACCTCGTAGAAAATCACATCCAGTGAAATCCTATTACTTTCGACCACTATTCCTCGCACAGATTGCGAGTGATTATACCAAAAATAAAACGCTTTCAAAAAAAAAAAAAAAACGACCGTCCAACCGAAACAATATAACAGTTTACCCTCTGGTAATTGTCCTTATTTACATGTGTCGTGTAAGAATATGAAGAAATAGAGGTTGCCCACCGATAATCGTGCACAGTATTTTCCCACTTAAGGAAATATTATTACCCATACACGTATCAAGTACATTATGCCACCTTTTATTGTTGTTTTGTGTCGTGTCGTTTTGGAAATCGCGACCTGAGTACGCAAGAGATGCCTGGCAATTTGTTCGGTACCTATTATAATATTATACAGAGTATATAAACGTGGTGTGTATACCGCACTGACTATTATTCAGAGTTTCTATCTCCGTCGCTCTTTTATAACGTCATGTATCCGTACTGCTTCGGTATGCTAATTTAACGACCCGGCCCCATACCGGTCTCCCTCCCTCGATCGCACAACGCGCGGTCCCCTTTCCTTCTCCTCCATTTTCTCTACATCATCCGCATATTTAGTTGTACACAACTATGAACTCGTCTACACCGTGTGATACGTCCTGCAGCGTTGTATAAAAAAATACACACGCCAACAAAAGGCATCGATATTTGCGACAATGAAAGCGCACATTAACGTTAGATATCAACCCATATAATTTACCTGAGTTTTTGTTCTTATCAGTATTACTCATAAAGTTTGTAAAACTAGATAAAATAGTGTAACTATCCCCGTCATTTGTTTTCTGTGAACCCGTTAAAATACACGGTTAATGCAACCAAAGTGTTGATAAATATTTTTCAAAGTTCGCATTTGGCCAATTGAATTTGCTAACGACACCACAAAAAATATTATCGGAAACAAATCGATCACCTGTAATTATTATTGTAGACTATGTGCCCGTTTTAATGACCCGTAGTCTTTTGTTTAGTCTAATATTACTTCATCCGGATGTTTTTGACCCGTTTTGATTTACTATTGTCCGTCCGTTCATTATTATTATTATTATTATTATTTCCGAATAATGTAAGACACTATAATATGTTGTTTAATGAGTAACCAACTTCATTGCGACGGCTGCACCGATGTAGTGGGTGGTGCGCAAAGTCGCCCTTCGGTCACGATCTTACACAACACAACAGCGGTCGACGACGCATATAAATATTAAAGGAATACCTCTAATTATAAACCTTTAGTCTATTAATTATTCTTGCTTTAATCGTAACACCCAGCTTTGTATCGGAATCGATTAATAACCCATGGAAAGTCCTCCTCTGTCGTGCACAGTTCGGTCGTTGCATGTAATATTATTCTACATGTGCACACGTATACCCATGTGTACTTTTTTAGTCTCTCTCGGGTTATGATATATTTTTATAAGATATTAATTACATCGCGTTAACACCCCGTGCAAACGCATATTTTCCTCGTAGGTTCACACGAAAACTAGTTCCATCGATTATTTTCACACACACACACTCACATACCTAAACATGCATAATACGAGTACATCAAGCGCGTTTATTGATTTTATAGGTTTACTATTGAGGTTCTAACGACTATTCCGTTTATTCGGTTTAAAGTAATAGACCAACGAGGTTAAGGCTATTTTCCTTAAATTAATGTAACATTTGCAGCGCTCACTCGATTCACAGTAACAGTTATTATCGTTATATAGTTACAACAATGTGACGTCTATAAACGGATTAAAAAGATTCATACACAGGTCTTGTGACTAGGAATTTTTCGTTTTTTTTTTAATTTAATGAATTGTTTGCACCCCCCGTCACGTTTCTCTAATAGCGTAATTGATTGTGCATGACGAAGCCGATCTTGGTCGTTTTTTCTTCTTATTATTATCATTACACGTGTACAATGAGCGCACGACACGCATAGACCTCCCCATTAATTTTAGTATTTTACCAATTATTATCATTATCATCGTTTCGAGATTGTATCTCCATCTGTTATCTATCTAACCCGACCGTTTAACGTACAAACTGTTCACAACACAATAAAATATTTTATTATCACTGAGCGCCTACTCCGAAAGAGTAAATTAATGAGGTAACGCGGTCGATACAACATTATTGTGCAATTTACCGTCTTGGAAACAGTTAATCCAATCACTACGACCGTGTCATTTTCATAATTTCATGAAATTACTATATTTTTACCGGTCAAAGTGAAGAACTTGTGTCCGCTAGTAATAAACTTTTAATAGTAAAAATCATTTTCAAACTTCATAATTAACCTTGATTAATCTGTCAAATTAAATACACCAATTACCGAAAAATTATTCTCGCGCCCCATTCGGCTTATAAATGTAGCGAGTTCATTTATCAAAACCGTTATCAATTGATTGGATCGGCGAACATAATATAAATAAATACAATACTATTATCATGTCAGATTACAAGTGCGCTTATAATATTATTATATACACCTCTCCGGCGCATACCGATTGACGTTTATACGTGGCATTAAAAAAAAAGTGAAAAATATGTCGAGTCACAAATTGGATGCTTCGTCCCAGACTGGCACGTACAATATTATTATCATTTTTCGGGTTGTATTGACGAGAAGGGTGTTCACCACGCCTACATCTTTACCTACTAATGGACAGTTCTATATATAATGTACACACGGCATGTAATATTAATTTAGAAGTAGTGGTGGTGGTGGTGCAAGTAGTTTTGTTTTTTCACATACCACGTGTGTTATGTGAATTGATCCGATTGTGACGTTTAATTGACAACCGAGGTGGATATAAGTTGAGCGCTCGCCATCCACCGGTTAGATGCAGTATAGTAGTTATAAAGTAGCCATTAAAAAATCAAGTTTAATGTGTAGTTATAGGTAGTAGTCGTTAAACGTCGTGTATATTTTGGAATTCTAATCGTACATCAATCAAATTACATAAAAACATTTTAAGCGCATTGATCGTTTTCTTTTTTTTTTTTTTACTAATGCGTAAGTGTTGTGCTAAGGATTATTTCTTTAAACGTGTAGGTTCCATTTCGATTGTGTTACAAAATTGAATAGTTAATAGAATACATTTTCCAAGTCCCACAATGTATTTAAATTAATTCTCTCGTTTAATGTTTTTTTATTGATACGTTTTGAACATACTATTCAAGTTTCTCGACAACACATAGTTTTTATTTTTTCAACTGAATTCCTCGACGACTTGAGTTTTATTACCCTATTACAATCATTGATGTTCATAGAAGATATCATTGCTGGCATATAGTTTATAAGTTATAATTCCACTTAAGAATGAACATTTTAAAAGTTTTCGCGAAAATAAATAAATAGTTTCATTTGCAATTAAAAAATTTAATTAAATAACATTATTTTCTTCAAAAGTTATACACAGGAAATGCATAAAACATGACTCTTTTGATAATTATTCGTACAACAATTAACGTGGAACAGTCAACCCATAGCTGGAGATTTATTCGTTTTCAGGCGGCTAATTATATTAATGCCAAACAAATTATGGGAAACGGGCGTACGCGTGTCTCGCGGGAAAACATGACATGATATTATACTAAAGTCGATGTTTGAAATCTAAAATTGTCTCGTCGCATGATAAACACTTGGAATTACCATAAAACGACATAATCGAACAGAAATTCTTGTTATTCTTAAAAACTTGCCGAGCTCTTGTTTAAATCGCAAGGTTGTTAATATCATACGGGGAGTTTGTAATTTTGATGAAAAGGTTTTGCAATAAGGTGATTTGTGTCAGAGTTGAAAAACTCCAATAACAGAATGGTTTTTATTGACATAAAACCGATTAAAAATAATAGTATCTTAGCCTGTAGGTGTGCATATGTACGTATAACATTTAATTAAAACTATATACTTTTATAACTCGTCAGACTATCACTAAACTTGTAAAGAATGGCATGCTCGCGATATGATGCAATAAGAATGAACGTTAGTAATGTTTACTCAGACCAATCGAACTCACACCACCCAAAACGTTATGCGTTTTACCAATTTCACGGGAAATTAATTAATGTAATTATTATAATTTGCATAGCACGGGCGGCAGTGTTTTACTCGAATATAAAATCGATTAGATTATAATTGACTCTATCGTTGTTTTATTTTACAGTCTCTCCAGTCAGCTGCACGTAGAGCCGGAACGAGCTGTGCGAATTGCAAAACGTCCACAACAACTCTGTGGAGGAGAAATCAAAACGGCGAACCCGTTTGCAATGCTTGCGGACTTTACTACAAGCTGCACAACGTGAGTACAATAATCTCAACTACAATAGTGTTATTACAAATGATAAAAACGATTCACCCGATCCGATGCAATCTTATCTGCCGTTTTCGCCCAGAAATGGACAATATGTTTTTACCGATTTCTTTTTTACACACACACACTGAGCCTCTGAGGGACAAAAACGAATTATCATTATTTCTATCGTTGCAGTGTCGCCGTCGGTTAGTAGTCCTTTGGCGCCAACCCCGTCAGTCGGCTCCGTTTGTTGTGCTCGAGTGTTGCGTATTTGGGCAGCGCGAACGACAACTTCCGAAACCCATTTAAACCACCAACCCTCTAATCCTGCCAACGCCACCCTCTGAGTTTTTTTGTCATACATACCCGTAAGACACGAGGACCGTCCGCTAAATAGTCTCCCTACCGTTGCAGGCCAACTAAACCGTTTAATGATCCATAAACGCTAATAACCCATCCGTTACACAATATCACGGCGAATAGTTTATCTTTTTGCCTTCGCCGCGATGTACTCAGATTCACATTATAAACCGAATATGTGATGTAACGATAGTCACTTCTTGCGTTACTGTTCCATAATTATAACGGAATTTTCTTAATTTAATCATCGCGCCAATAAAACATTATGCACCGCCTCCAGTGGTGCATGTACCGAGTCAATGCTAATGCTATTCACTTGGTGACGAGGGGAGCTTTATAAGCGCAATTAACTTTATCTAAACTGATTAAGTAAACCTCGATTCGCCTAATTATAGAATAACGCGTGCAATCTTCCCGTATAAAGCCTTTCTATTGAACAAACACGGATCGTGCCAACCACACGGCATGTCAAAAGCTCGTTCATTATATTCGTTAGTGGTTTCCGTTAGCTGTAGAATATCTGAAATGAGATTACTTAATATGCTCTCCCAATGGGAGGTCTACAGCTTTCATGACGTCCCTAAACGTTTTGATTAAAAACGTGCGAATATCTGTCAACGGACGACACATCCTTCGACCCACATGATCATTTCCTGCGCATACATCAGCTTCTTAGACGTGGCATCCGTCGAATGGCGGAGGCGCCCCGTGGGAGACTTGGAGTGTATCGCATGTCGACGGGTGAGGTCTTGACAGAAATTCGGATGTCAGTATAATTTATCAAAAAGGGTTCGAGTTGGCAAAAACAAGACGAAAATACCTATAAAAAAAAGTGAGGGTTCCAACGTAGTCTTTAGAAACCGTGTGTCCGATTATTGTTATGTTATTGGCCCAGTTCGATTGGACCCCCCGCCGTTGTGTTTTTATTATTACGTGTGGTGCTCGATTATCTTGTTATGTACGACGAAAACGTTCTCAGTTTGTCATCGTGTATAAAAAAATACACGTTATAAAACGTAAGAGAGACACGTCGATGATGGGCCATAATGTTGATTGTACCGTATAAATGCTGCTAACGGATCATTCACGGTTACTGTAATATTTTGATAATGTATATACATTTTTTAACGATGGGAGTCTGTATACGCGTTTTCACATTAAAACAATGTAAGCCGGCCGTGTAATAATGTTAGGCCCGGTCACGGGTCGACGGATCTAATAATTCGGAGTCAAATTCCAAGTATTAACATAATATGAAATATTTTATTGTACAAGCGCGTGGTATCGATAGTCTCCCAGGAAAGCGTGTGTACGACGCATAACAGAATGTCTGGACTTTTTTTTCATTCCGATCTTGTGTCGTGTACGCCTATATGCGCCAGACGAGGGTGTGATAGGTCAAAAGATCATTGATACACTACGATATCGTATAAAACAGCAACGATCGTGTGCAAACAGCAAAAATGCAAGCAGATATTTCTTATTTAAAGCGAAAAAGAGCCGAGTAAATGTTTGCCATATTTTTTCTCAAATTATGCACAGATGCGTTTCTCGGGCTAAATTTACTAATGTCGAGATTACCTTACAACACTCTTTACCCACTAAAAAATGTTTAGTATCGAAAAAATTTAACTTGCTCGGTCGTTTGCTATACTAATTCATCAACACAGTTTAGGGGAAGACTTAAATGAATTATGTATACGTCGATTGAAAGTACAATATGATAGCTACTACGTCAGGCTACCATTTAGTAAGCTGTGGCATATTATAATAATGCACGCGAAAGTAATTATACAGTTAATTGTAATGATCTAAATATGAGCGATCAACAGAAATTTTAGTTACCAATGTTTAATTAAAAAAAACTATTCGGCAAAGTGAATAGTTACAATATACAGAGTTATAATTGGAAGAATCTATTAATGAAATTGATTTAAAAAAAATACTAGTCTAATATATATATTTTTAATTTTGTTGACGATGTCTTACATCGTCAATGAAAACAATACTCAAGTAACAATTATTTCAATTGAGACTGAGGAAGTGAGTTTTTTGGCGTGTTCAAGATAAAAAAAATCATATCTAATCATTTTAAGATTCTATTAAGAAAAAATTTTTGTTGAAATAAATTTAAATCAGTTCAAATTATTCAATTTACAAGGATACTCGGGGAAAATAAATAATTTTACATTTAAAAATAAATTGCTTTGAATTATTAAAGATGATCATAAAATTAAATTTTAAAGCAGAATTTAAAATTTTACAGAGTTTTACATTATTATTACTTATCAAAAGATATTTGGTACAAATATTCATTCTATCTTTACTCCTTAACACAACCTATCCGCTTTGCCCGGACTTCCCCTATGGATCAATACAAAGACTTTGAAAATCAATTCCACCCGACGGTGACGATTATGTTCGACGAACGGTACCGATGAGAGAAAATTAAATAGATAGAGAGAGTGGTGGACGTGCGATATTAACAGAGGACAGACAATGGGGCGCGGGCGCTCGGCGGGTGACGCTGCGGTCGGTGTACAAACCGCTAATGACTAATTACAATAAACATATAGTGGAGAAAAAGTCAAATTAGTGCACCCAAAACCCCTACCGCGGGTCAACACCTTATAAAACAGGTCCGTTGTACATATAATAACATCATATTGTTTGTGTATACGATATTCCGCCATTGTGCGTCATTCAAAATAATTATATTATTATTATTATCCGACAAGGGTTTCGTGTGAGCTGTTACGTGTTTAAGATCCGACCACGGCGAGAGTGTCTTTCCATTGTGTACTAGAAAATATAAACAGTTTTTCGAACAATTTATTTTTTATGCAATATCGAAGCTGCTATAGACATCTGTGCCTACCGCTGTGTGGCAGTTATGAAGGCGATCCAAGATAAAGGAGACGACGACTCGATTGTCCTCTAGCAAAAGCTAGAAAGTTTTAAATATTCGATTATCGGTGTTGAAACACGTGTATCTGCCGCTGGAGAAAATGCAAAATTCTGCGAATTAAGCTGTAAAGAATTATTGTCATCAGTTTACTTGTCAGTATTAGCTTTTATTTTAGTATTTCCAAACGTTTAGTAGCCCAAACAACGTATTATTAATATTTACTTGAATTCGTTTGTCAATAACTCAAACGGTGACAAATCGGAAACTTAAACATTTTTCAATGGTCTTTTTCCGCTAGGGTTCCTCCTACTATGAGCGTATAATGTTGTATCGCAAGAAAATACATAACATTTTAAACACAATATCTAAGGATTATTATGGTACAACGTTTTTAAGTGCGTATCAATGGGAAATGGGCGTACACACGCGGCCACTGGCAGCTGATTCATTGCCGGCAACAATAAAAAACCTATTATCGACGAAAGAGCAACAAACAAAACACACAAGGGACGAAAAAAATAAAAGAATCCCGTGTGGATTGATACTTTTTTAAATGTCGCCTCACAGCATTGTCATAGGGTCAATTCGGCATGTATGTCGGAGAGAGCGAGTGGTTCTTTGACAGACCAAACATCCTCTTATGAGGATTTCTTCCGCAAATCGATTTCATCCATCGCTCCCCTGCAAAAACGTTATTGGATTTAAGAATTAGCCACTTTAACCGTCTGGTGCCGTGTACATGGAATCGTTTTATACTATCCTTTTCAAAAATACGACCAACTCATATTGAATTTCAGCCTACCGTTCCACTATAATCTTGTTCCACGTGAACTAACGGAAAAAACATAATATGATAATCTTAAATAAATTTTTGAAAAATGCCCTTTTTGTATTTTACTTAATTGTTTTTTCTGTCACCAGGTGAATCGACCGTTAACTATGAAGAAGGAGGGCATTCAAACTAGAAATCGTAAGCTGTCTTCTAAATCGAAAAAGAAGAAGGGATCGATTTTAGGCGGTAGTGTCGGCGTAGGAGGCGGTAGTGGTGGAGGAGCGGGTGCTTGTCTATCGCTGTCCGGTATGATGCGAGGTGACGGAACCGGAACCGGGTACCATCATCCCGCTTCGGCCGCTTTGCATCCACACCCAGCCGCTATGAGCCATTACCATCATCACGCAGCCGCTGCCGCTGCAGTTATGTACCATCATCACCATCACCATGCCACCTCAGCTAATCAACCGGCGGCCCCACCAACCCCGATTCATCCACATCACCATCATATGGCATCCCTTACGGGACTCGGGTTACCCACCACATCAAACGCAATGGTGAGTAACAACTATGTAAGTTATGAAAGATTTATTCAGTACTAGAGTTAATAATTAGTATTAAGCTATTCATAATTTATCAATGAAATTGCATCTTTAAATTCGATCATCTACACAATAGTCTTAAATAATGTGACTCAAACCGTTTATTTCTAATTACGATTAACACTTATTTTGCATAGTTTAAGATTTTTTACGCATTAAGTACTTGCAATACTAAAGAATTATTGTTGTTTTGATTTACAGGCTAGTTGGAGGTCCGAATACGCGTGATTATTAGACTTGCCGTTTCCCGGGCACACGACGAACCATTTTTGCAGGGTCGGCGATGAATGATTAATAAATCAATTTAGACACAAATTATTACTTAATTATTGTTAATAAAATATTCATAGTTCCTATTTATTCCCAACAAAACAATTTATAAAAACTTACTCATACATGGTCAGTATGGCCCGTGAAAAACTACTTCATTCATTTTATTCAATTATAATAGACGTTTTTATTTTAATTTTAGTAGAATATATTTTTTTTTATCAGATAAATTTATGAACAATTATTATAACTTGTTTTGCTTTTGGTACAAATTTGTTAAAAAAATAATGTTTAAGAAAACTGAAGTTTACAATAAATTATACTTATGAGCTAGTCGAAAACTTGAACTTGTACAGTAAATGATATTTAGAATTATACGCAATTGTGCACAGTATAAGAAAAAAAAAA